GGGGGGGGGGGGGGGGGGGGGGGGCCCTTCGCCGTTCCCGGAAGTTACTTACTTCCGGGTTCGCCGACCAACCGGTTCGTGGGGACCGCCGCAAACCGGTTGAAACCCACCCCTGACACAACCCTAAACAGTTTAGTTTTAAAAAAATTTATCTCAAACCTGCACCTTAGCAGCATAGGAAGCTATTCATCTAAGTCAACTGTTTCAGGGAGAAAATATTAACTTGCTTTAAAACCAGCTAATTGATACCCATTTTCTGAAGTCACGACGGTGGCTTTGTATATAGCATTATGGCAGTTAATTAGCCTTCCACTAGTCCATTTAATTTCTTGTGTTAAATCATCCAGTCAGCCACAGATTAACAGCATATTAACAACAGCAACATCAGCATGTTGCAGGAGAAAGGTTTTGTGCATTTCATCAGAGTTCCTTAATGACATGCCCTTCCTATTTTATGACTATTTTATATGGATACAGACTCCCCGAGTTTTGCAAGCCTCCTTTTTCTTTGTTGCATTCCCCCGCTAAGGACTATTTCGTACTTAAGAAGAAAAGTGCCTCAAGTTTCTTACCAATTCCACAGTTCCCCATTAGCCAGACATTTTGTTTTTCTCTCCTGTGGAAGCAGAACAAACATGGTTCCGCTGAATGCGCTGCTTTATATACCACTCATGTTATGTGGGATGCTGGCAGCACAGCCGACAAGCAGGCACAATAACAGTTGCTGTATAATGGGCCAGGCTCCCAACTTTGGAAGAACAAGAAACAAGGTTCGTCTTTGTAAGCTGTGCCAGAGGGTGTTACTAACAGCCATCTCCCAGCTAGAATCTATTTGCCAGCCTCCAAGTCCTGAGGAAAAGCATGGTGCCACTTCTATGGCTGATAATGGTTCACCAACAAATGCGCGCACGACAAAAGCGCGCCGACAAAAGCACGGCGAGAAAACCGCGATGTTGAAATTGCGCCCACAACAGCGTGCCCACAACAGCGCGCCGACAAAAGCGCGCCATCAACAAACAACGCGAAAACAAGGTAATAACCCTAACCCTAACCCTAACCGCGCTTTTGTGGGTGTGGTTTTGTCGGCGCGCTGTTGTGGGAGCGATTTCAATGTCGCGGTTTTCTCGCCGTGCTTTTGTCGGCGCGCTGTTGTGGGCNGGATCGCGCAGGCGCTGTATGCGTCCTGCGCATGCGTGGAAGCGCAGAACTCGTCAAAACCGGGTAAGGAGCGCAGGCGGGCGGCTGGGCCCTTCGCCGTTCCTGGAAGTTACTTACTTCTGGGTTCGCCAACCAACCGGTTCGCAGGGACCGCCACGAACCGGTTGAAACCCACCCCTGCTCTGGGGTGTTACATATCCACAGTGTTTTTTTTAGTGTTAACAAATCTGGGCTACAGAACTGGATAATCACTAAATGATAGCAAAGAGTTACAGTTTTCTGTATTATTATTATTATTATTATTATTATTATTATTATTATTATTATTATTATTATTATTATTATTATTATTATTATTATTATTTTGTGTCATCAGGTGGCCTTCTGGATTTTTGCAGCCCATGTCTGTTTGCCTGTGTTTGCTATTGTGCTATATGTTGGATGTATCTTGGCTGGAATGTGAAAAAAAGAAGAGAAAGTTCACCAGCAAAATGATGGTTACCGATGCCAAAAGGAGACCTGGAGAGGGTTACTGCACTGGTAGTCTTCCTTCTCCTGGCATTCAATTAATTCTCTCTCTCCAAGTTCAGATCCATGGAGCGTGACAATTACACCACCAGCCGCCCTGACTTTCTGCTCCTTGGCTTGTCCACTCGGCCAGAGCAGGAGCACTACCTTTTCGTGATCTTCCTCGTTCTGTACCTGCTGAACATGACTGGGAACCTGCTGATCATCTTTTTGATCCGTTCTGATGCCCGGCTCCTCCATGCACCTATGTATTTCTTTCTCAGTCACCTCTCCTTTGTGGATGTCTGCTTCACCTCGACTACCATTCCCAAGATGCTGCACAATCTGCGCACAGGCTGCAAGAACATTGCTTTCACTGACTGCATGATCCAGATGTATCTCTTTCTGGCCTTTGTGATCACTGAAAACTTCCTGCTTGGCGCCATGGCCCTGGATCGCTTTATGGCCATCTGCCTGCCCTTACGCTACCCTCTGCTGATGAAACCCCTGCAGTGTCATATCATGGTATTTGTGGCATGGTTGCTGGCCCACCTTCATGCCCTCCTACACACTGTCTTGATGTCCAGGCTTTCCTTCTGTGACCATCTCGAGATACCTCATTTCTTTTGTGACTTCCAGCCTTTAGTGGTGATGGCCTGCTCTGATAAGAGTCTCAGTGAAATGTTGAGTTTCTTTGAAGGAGGAACAATCGTTATTGGCAACTTGATTCTCATTCTTGTCTCCTACATGCGCATTGTCCAAGTTGTCCTTCGGGTGCCTTCCAGCCAAGGCCGGAGCAAGGCCTTCCAAACCTGTGTTTCTCACCTGATTGTGGTGACCCTCTTCTATGGTTCTGCAATTGGGGTCTATTTCCGGCCCCTCTCTTCCTATTCTGGGGACAAGGACAAGGTGGCCACTGTTATGTACACTGTGGTGACCCCTATGCTCAACCCCTTCATATACAGCCTAAGGAACGCAGATATGAAAGCTGCCCTCCATAGAGCACTGGATAAACTAAGAAACGCTTTGCAGAAGCCACAGACTATCAACACCTGATGTCAAATAAGGGGCTGCCAGATCAAATATAGAAGAAGTATGGTTCTTTGGAGAACTTTATTTGATGGAGTGTTTTACACATTTAGCATGTTTTTTTCATTCCTTAAGGACGTTTTTATTTTTAACCCAGTATGTGAGTCTTCATATTATTTTTTTTAGATTCTTTTTTTTTAATTTTTATTTTAAACACATAAGCACATCAACAAAAACAAACACATGACTTAAAACAACATAGGAACA